AAGGGTAAAAAGAGGAACTTGGGTTGAAATTTCATGGGTGATTGTTTTAGAAGGTTTTGGGTCTAATGGTGGTGTATGATCTAGTGGTCAATGGATAGATGGGGGTTAATCGGGACCCTCGGGTTAGTATCAGATAGATTTGATGGTGGATTTAAGGGCTTTTGGGCTAAAATTTAGGTTTTGGGGGCTTTTATGTGTTTCAGATAGATTGGAAGGGTCTGATCAGGAATTTGGGATGAATTTGGGTTTCCAACAGTGGACCAAGTAAAAATTAAGTGCTGACACCAATTATGTTCTGAAATTATCAACGTAACTAGCTGGGATTTTTTAGTTTTCGGTCTGATTATATTCACATTCAAATTAAGGAGTAAGATCTCATAATTAAATATTGGATTCCGTAGTGGTAGAGACCACTAGAGTTCTTGGAGCCACTCAATAATTTTATTTATGATTAGCCCCGAATATGAGCCTTACCTTCCATTCTTCTAGAGCAGCGCTTTTTCCAAATCTCCCAGACTATTAAGAGGATTTCAATCTTGCAATAAGCCTGAAGAAATGCTAACATTAAAATATATAGAAAACATTAGGAAACTGGATAAATGAATGAGAAGAGTCTTTCTGATACATGAAAATAGAGATGGACCCATGGATGCAAAGTCAGTTGTAAGGAGTTTTGTACAGATTAGATTTCAGAGAAGCCGTGTAGTTGGAAGACTTTAGAAGATGATTAGAGCTTATGGCAACAAAGATCTTACATACTTGAGGCCACCATAAATATTAGTAAGAATATCCATTTTGTGATTAAGAAGAAACAAAGAACAAACGTGAAACTGATGCCGTTGAAAAATAACATTCACAGCATACACTATTCATATGCGCACAAATAGGCACTGTTTTCTAGACTCTAGTGTCATCATAGTTGACACTTATCTTCTTAAGTATAGGCTAAACCTGTAGTTCAGTTATATGAAACATATTCGTCCATTGCACTCTATGTCTCTATCTGAAAGCATATATTCTGAAGAATAAGTCCTCAAATATTTTTTCACCCACCAAATTCATGTCCTTTTAAAGCCTCCAACTTGCATAATGCTTATCAAATCCCTCAAAAATTATTTATGGGTTTCTAGCAGATAAGGGCAATTTTTTGCCCTGAATATTAATAAAAAGTAATATTTTTATAAAATAATTAAAATAGGGTATTTTTTTAGAAAAATACCAAAAAAGGGCATTAATACTGTTCATTGTTTTCCTCTGCTGCTCTCTCAAGAGGAAGACAATAGAATGATATTTTTGCCCTGAATAAAGGCAGTGGTTTTGTCTTCATCGTCTTCCTTTTCTTTTTTCACCCAAGAAAATATTTTATAGCAATCCCAATTCGTTTGAGAGCAGTGGGCCGTTGATCTTGTATTCGTTTGAGGGCTCTGTAATAATATTGAAATGCTGCAATTTTTCTTGTACTTTCACTGTGATCTTTAATTTATACAAACATATATATGCCGAGATTTCGAGACAAGTGTAGTCTATGAAGAGTAGTGTAGATAGAGATACATCAGATCAGAATTAAAGTATTAAACATGGAGTCTTCTGTAGATTGTCGTGATGACTCAAATCCCGTGGCTAACTCTTTTGCTAAGGATAATGAATCTTGTGCTCTCTGTCCAGACACAAATAATACAACCCAAAACTCTGTGGAGCCTCTACCATTACTCAGCTGCTTGCTTCGGCTGGCCACACCAGCAAGAGATGAAAATCATGACACGGCCGACAATGAAGATGGGAATGGCGTCACTGTAGCGTTACACTTACACATTGGGTTGCCTAATAGTTCGAGTTGCTCCACGTACACGAAACCAAACGATATGGTGGGAGACAGAAATATTGTTGTAGGTGTGGGTACCCAGTATTGGATACCGACTCCCATGCAGATACTCATCGGCTACACCTATTTTTCGCATCACTTTTGCAAGAAAGCCTTCAACCACTGCCCTTAATCAAGGCAAAAATATCATTCCATCGTCTTCCTCTTGAGAGAGCAGTGGAGAAGACAATGAACAGTATTAATGCCCTTTTTATGGTATTTTTTTTTAAAAGTTACCATATTTTAATTATTTTATAAAATATTATTTTTTATTGATATTCAAGGCAAAAAGTTGCCCTAATCTGCTAGAAGGCCAAAATTTATTGCACAATGATGACCTTGGCCTGTGCAATCACCAATCCTTAGAAACTATGCTCAAATTTAGACTGTCATTTCTTCATTGCCCATTGTTCTGCCCCATTGACCATAACTCGGCTTCCATACGAAATTATAACACCACAATCCTGACCATCCAATGTTTGCTGTAGTGTGCTTGATATTATTTCTTTTCTTTTCTTTTTGTTTTTTATAGTCAGTTCAATATCAATTTCTTAACTAAATCGTATTAAAAACTTAGTTACCATACTGAAAACTGACATGAATCGGCATAGAAAAAGTAAACATAGAACCTAACCAATATCTAGTAGTTTATATTAGATGGATGTCAACCTTTTTTCCGTGCCAGGTCTTAATTGATGCAATAGCCATAACAGCTCAGATATGTAGGGGTATTTCCTGACATCACTCCTTCCACCTGTAAGCACGAGCGTACACTTTGGCTACAGTACCTCAATCGAGCACCACGAATCTCGACCCCGCACGCATAGATACTTACAAACTCAAAGCTCAAGGCCCACAGGTGAAGCTGACGCTTCTTAGGTAATGTTTGATTTGAAGGAAAAGGTAGGGCAATCTGTTACAATCCATTTGTCTCACATTTATAGTATGGGATGCTAATCTGAGGTATCCTATATCCATAGTATGAGATGATATTGTGGAGTATATATGTATTTTGAGTTCCCTCTTTTAACTAGCTTTTAGGGGTAAGTTCTCCTAAGACACATAACAAATGGTATTAAAGCCTACACTATGCTTTCTAGTTGCAATCGTGTGGCACAGGTGATGACGTAGTGTTCGACCAAGACTAGGTGGACTAGTGCAAAGATAGCCTACGTGGGTGCCGGGACTATGGAACGTGGTGGAATATTCTGATCTATTTATCTCACGTTGGTAGTATGGGATGCTATTGTAGGGTCTATATGTGCTTGGATTCCCTCCCTCTAACAGTTAGCTTTTAGGAGTGAGTTTTCCTAAGACACATAACACAACATATATAAGTTTGTAAAATTTCTCTACCTTTTCCTACTTTTTACTTCAAACCAGACTCAACTAGAACATTCCTGCCCACTACTCTCTATCCACCCTGAATTGCAGCCACAGATCACCATCTTGTATTGTGAGATGTGCGGTTGCAGTGCAGTGGGTAAGGTGCAGGTAGAGAAGATAGAAAGTCAGAGTTGATGACTCGAAACCACAAATCTACTAACTCCTAGCTTTGCCTGCACACCCAAAAGCACGAGCCTTGAACTCGCTACTTCCTTTCTTCCCCAGACGGGCAAAGAGGAAGACTTGAACTCGCCAACCCTCAGCTTCAACTAATGGCCTCCCTCGAGACCTCACTCTCCCCTTTGATCCCAACCTTGCCAAAGCATGACTTGCAATAGCAAGAGACAACGCGTATACGCTCGAGTAGACTCCCTGTCCTGGGGTTGTGCCATGTGGTCAAGTAAAGCCAACACAAGCGAGTATTTGGTCCCCCACTCCAAATTGGGATTTGGTCCTCAGAGTGTGCCTCACACCGATACCATAGCCACATCCTACCGTGTATGGGAAACATCTCCCCATGAATAATAAAAACGAGTACGGAAAATGCTCCCAATGTACGGTCAAGACATGCTGTGAGGTTGATGTGAAGTGCCTTCTGTGAGAAGCAGATCTGGACTCCCCCACTCCATGCATGTACCCACCGAAACAACCTAAAATGGCGGAAGAATATCACAAAAGGTTACACGTACCTACCTGATCAATTTTTCCCCTACAAACATGGGATCTAATAACTCACTAGAGCAGCAAATCACTGAACAGTTTATCCCCCTCAAGCCTCAAGGAGCATACATATACACCTCCATACACTCCGAGCAGAAAATTCGAACGCTCAACACCCTCTTAGCGTCCAGTCTCCCAACCTTCGGATTCCACAGACCTCTAATCAACTATAGGTTTACACCACCTGTTTTTGCATGTTTAGTTTGATGTGGCCTGTTCCTGAGAGAAGCTAAATAAGAGTCTTTATCTGAATGGTTAAACAGTTAGTTTCATGATCTTCACTTGCCCTCAGCAAAAACAGATGGTGTATGCTTAAAAAGGTGATACTGCATGGAAAGGGTGGCTAGCTCCCAACATCCATTTTTTTATTTGACCAGTGTTCTTTTGACAATAAAAAATTCAGGTTAGGTGTTGTTGCTCCATAGACCATATGAGGATGCCCAGCTACTTTTTTGAAATCAGCTAAAGCTGGACAAGGGAAATTCAAAAACTGATGGAACTGTCTTCCGCATTTTCTTGGGTGGGGACTATAGGAAAAAACATTTATATTTGTCCCTTACCCAAGCAATAGCAATTATGCTTAGGTGATTTTTGTACAAGGATTCGATGCTCTCTGCTGGAAGTTAAGAATTAATTATATCAAATAGTTGAGTTTTTGAGCAATTGAAGGTTGAACTTCCTGTTAAAATTATCAGGTTAAAATACTTGCAAAGGCCAATTTTCTCTCTTGTGAAACTAAGGCTCCATTTGGAAGGAGTACAAATACAAATATGTAGAGCACAAACCTTCTATTTTATATTATTTTGTATGTATTTGTACTGTACATATTTGTATTTGTAGTCCTCCCAAACTGAGCCTAAAAGCCAATTAGGTTCGCCATGTCTTGCTTAAAGATGCTTATTTCAGCATCAGAGGTTTACTCTACAATGGACAAATAAATTCCCCCATTATAATGGATGTAGAAATTACTTTACACATTACAAAGAAACCAAAGATGCATGAAATATTCAAAGAAAATTCGGAATCAATAGTGGAATTGAAAGAGAAACTTCTAAAATCTATTCATCTTGGCAACTTCTATTAAAGGCAATTCAAGGACAATGTCTAGCAGTGGATTTTTCTCTACCGAAGTCACTTGTTTCCTTTTTATACGAGAATAGTTAATTTCAGAATAAGTATAACATTACAATGAGAACAAAATTGACAAAACTGATACCTTGAATTATCCAAGTAAATATGACTAATTTTCCCAAAATAAAAGATTATGAATACCTCGTGTTACTTCAAATTTCTTAAGATATTATTCTGGCTTTTAACTTGTGGCTTCTGGAATATCAGCTGGAGTAACAGTCTCAAGGTTGACCTCAGAATCTTCTGGCTTATTTGGAAGGTCCTTATTTTCCAGCTTTGAAACACGAAACATTGCCAGATGGGTGTCCCCTAAAATCACCAAAGAGAAAGCATTGACACATTTTGCATTATGGAAGCTCTATTTTTTCAGCCAGTTTTATCATAATAATTGCAAATTTAAACGTGTTTTGCATGAGTTCACATCTGTGCCCCACAGAGTGCACCCCTCGAGTGTCCCACAGCACATCCCAACTTGTGTATTGAGAACATCTCCGAATGACAACTATGGAAGATGTTCCCAATGCACGCTGAGATGTGCATGTGGGGCACAGGTGTGAATTCGTTTTGCATCATTGAGAGACAATTCATCCTATGTACAATACAGTCCGGGCATGGCCCAACTATGGATTGATGAAGATATCCTAAATGGTCTTTTTCTTCTCTGTTTTATTTTCATTTAGTTATTGTTTGTGGGGTTGGGAGCATTGTTAGAGCTCTACATTGACCAATATGGCCAATGCACGAGGATCAACACCCCC